GGGTTCAACACCCAACTAATTAACCAGTGTGTTGTGTGTGGAGTAGTTGCCTTTCCCAAAAGAAATACGTGTTCCTATCAATAATGTATGTTCTGTGTGCGGTCAAAATTCTACCAAACCATCCCTTTAATTCATTTTGCAATTGTAAAAACATAGGAGTATATACCTCAATCATCATATTCATATGGAAAGATTAGGTGACATAAATTATCATTTAGTATAAGGTTGTATTTGGGTTGTCACACAACACCTCAATAAAAGTGTTAATTTATTATAATTAAATTAATTTTAATATTTTGTATAATTTATTAATCATATTTATGCATAACATCTTTTTTTTTCAACTACTAAATAATAACAAAGTTTTTGTGAAAATAAAATACTCAAAAACTTATAGTTATAACATTGCACAATATAATTGCCAATAATATAAGTAATTTAATAACAATTTTTTCTAATAAAAATGAGACATCTTAAATTCAAATTATATGATATTCAATTGAAATAAATTAAGAAATAAGATATAAATGCTTCTTATCATACAATTCAAAATTATAAAAAAAAAAAAAGAAGCCAAAACAAAACAAAAATTCAGACAATCCAAACACAACCTGACTTTTACAACTTTAATTGAGTTAGTACAAAAAACGGAAACGATTTTTTTTTTTTTTTAAGAAGTAAAACGGAAAGGATCGAATTATTAGAAAAAGAAAAATTATTCACCACAATCTTAATTACTCTTATGATAAACTTTGATAATCTTATAGGCAGTAACGGTGTGTTTTGCTCTTTTTAACTTAACCAAAGTAAATCACTATACATTTATTTATTTAATATTAGATAATTATTGTGAGTACTTAATCATGAAATTTTATTGTAACTTTGTGAGCTAAAAAGAAATGTTAACTAAAAAAGTAATATTGGTGACAACTTTTCTTTTTTAAAATGTCATTTAGTATATTTATTTTATTTTTATTTTTATTTAAAAAAATAATTATAACATATAATACTAAATAAAAAATTTATTTAAAATTAATTAATTAAGAATAAATATAAACTTTTATTAATTAATTATTATATTTTTATTTTATTGAACAAGGGAAAAACTAAATTTACTAAACTTAAAAAAGGAGTATGAAAAACTTGTACAAAATTTACCTCTTAATCATTTTCTTTAGAAAAACTAATTATTAAGCACTCTTAACTATGTATTTATATTCTCCCTTCAACCTAAAATAATAGAAGGTTTTTTTTTTTATCTCATATTAAAGATTTAGAGAAAATTTATATTTTTACGTATAATTACCCTTAAAAATATAAAGATGAAAGGATATTTTTTTATAACAAACTAAATTATTAAAATTGAGGAATAATAATAATGTTAAACAGAGAAAAAAGTTTTACCTTGCTTGAAATACTCTAAAAATGACAAAAAATAAAAAATAAAAAATATATATATTACTCAAAGACAAAAGGAGCACATGAAGGATACTAAAAGTTCGGTAATAATATAGTTATATTCCGGTGGTTGGAAGTTTATAATAAGCGTCATTAAATATGAAGAATTACAGTTGCGCTGAACATCATTAAGGTACTAATCTTTTCACAAGTTTGGAACTTATTTATAAATTCAGCAAAACATTCACTACATCGATCATTAATTCTGCAGGTAGCAAGCACAGTGGCCATGGAGAACAATCTTGCAGAGACGTTGCTACCGGCTACCAAAGAACAAGAAAACACCACTAATCTGAGAACGAAGGTTATGAATCAATCAAAGACCATCTGAAGAATCAGCTTCCTCGGAATAATCGCCAAAGTCACGTCTTTCTGTCTCATCATCGTCACTCAGTCCTTCCTGGATCATGTCAGTGATATCCAACTCGCTACCTTCGCCTTCGTCCAAAGCATTTTCTTTCGCTTCATCAATGGAATCTTCGTAAGCACAAATTTTCCCAACGTTAATTTTTCAATAAAAAAATAAGCAATGAGCCAATGAGTAGTTATTGTAAGTGAGAAAGTTAACTTTGTTGTCGTAATCCATTTAATATTCAATCCCCTGTCAATCTAAAACTGACGATTTATTGTCTATGTGAAATTAATTAGATCGGCATGTCAAGTGCGGTCGAAACATTATGCGGCCAAGCGTACGGTGCCGGACAGTACCACATGATGGGAATTTACTTGCAGAGGTCTTGGATTGTTGACGGAGTAGTGGCGACTCTGGCAGTTCCGCTCTTCGTATTTGCCAGGCAAATCTTGAGACTTCTGGGTGAGGAGGAAGAGATGGCAGTGGCGGTAGAACCGATCTCGCTCTGGTTCATTCCCTTCCTCTACAACTTTGTCTTCGCACTGAAATCCAAATGTACTTGCAAGCGCAGATGAAGAACATGATCATTGGCTGGCTTTCTGCTTTTTCCTTCCTGCTTCATCTGTTGCTCTCATGGATCCTCGTTTATAAGCTTGATTGGGGAGTCAACGGAGCAATGGCCGCCTTGAATATCTCCGGTTGGTCAACGGTATCGGCGAGTTCGTGTACATATTTGGAGGTTGGCGTCGGAATATATGGAAAGGGTTAAGTAAAGCTGCCTTCCAAGACATTCTCCCTGTGATCAAGCTCTCCTTGTCCTCTGGTATTATGTTGTGGTAATTTAATCTGATTTTTTTTTTTTTTCTGCTTTAACGGTAAATCAGAAGATTGTCACATTCTTTGTCACAATTAGGTGGAACATATATATAGTAAGTTTTATTTGAATTATATCTATGTGCAGTTGAGATTAGATATTCTAATATTAAAAAACTAAAATTTTTTAAATATTAAGGATTTAATACATTCCTATTGTAAATATCCAAGTGTCATTTCCAAGATCTGAGCTTCCAAACCTTTCGTAAAGCAGGCACCATACACACAAACACAATCACTTGAGCAATTATAAACTAGAACCGTCCCACGTAACTCCCATGGGCAAGTAACTCAATTGGACAAACAGGCCCAATTAGGCCGACATATTTGAAAATGGCAACTATCAATAAGATGTTGGGTATAGCCCAACACCTTCCAAAGCCATCCCTCGTACTCTTTGGGGCAAGTGAATTTAGGGCTACCAAGTAGAACGGTCCCACATAACTCCCATGGGCAAGTAACTCAATTGGACAAAGAGGTCCAATTATACCGACATATTTGAAAATGACAATCATCAATAAGATGTTGTGTATAGCCCAACACCTTCCAAAGCCATCCCTAGTACTCTCTGGCGCAAGTGAATTTTGGGCTACCAACTTTAATATTTCAGCCTTTTAGAGGGCATTTTAGGTTTCTAAAAACCTTCGAAGACCAATTTGAAATTGGAGGGTTTTTGTAATGGCCAAGCCCCTTATTTACACCCTAAATATTATTGTTTTTGTGGTCAACACCCTCTAAAATTTTTATTCTCAGTCAACATTCTCAATAATTTGAAATTCATAAAAAACCCCAAATTACAAACCAAGTTAGAGTGCAAATTGAGATTTCAGTTGTTAACTTTTGGATTTTTTATGGGTTTCAAATTATGCAGGGTGTTGACCGAGAATGAAAATTTTGGAGAGTGTTGACCGCGTAAAACAATAATATTCAGGGTGCAAATAAGGGCTTTGATATTCCTTCTTTGAGGGCAATTTGGTTGATAATTTTTTGGTTTTTGATAGCTTGGAACTGTGGTACAACTCTATTTTGGTGTTGTTGGCTGAATATATGAAGAATGCAACCGTTGCCATCTCTGCTTTATCCATCTGGTAAGTCCCCCCTCCCTCTTTACAGAAGCTGTAATTGAATAAATTGCATAAGTGGTACTCAATTTTACCTTTATTTATAAGCCACCTATTATTTTTTTTCTCTTGTATTACGTAATCTCTTAATTTTATAAATTGGGTCGCCAAACTTCTTATTTTCTTTTGTAATTATAATATTGATTTTTTTTTTATTTTGAAAATTACAACATTGAACTTAATGTCAAAGTCAGCCCATGGCATAGAAATGATAGAGTTGAGAATGCATTAAGTAATTTATTCTAGTTTTGTATTTAAAGAGCAATTTTGGATGAACAGTTCTCTCCTAATCAGGGATGGAGCCAAGAAATTCGGTTAGGGGGGCAAAATTTATTGTTAAAAGTTTAAGTTTTTAAGAGTATCTTTTATTATATTAATTTGTTTTCTTTAAATCTTTTCCTTTATAGAAAGATTTACTTGTATATTTTTCACCGATATATTCTTAACAAAAATTAAAAATAAATGTATTTTTTAATTATAATAAAAAAAATATCATAGTAATAAATTATACAATAATCAATTGAAGAATGAAGAAAAAAAGAGAAATGTGTTTTTTAGTTAAATCTTTAACAAATTTGGGGAAAAACACAATAAAATTAAATTGTTTTAATAAACTTGAATTGGAAAAGATAAAAACAACATATTCTTAAAGTTGGAATGAGAGTGTTTTGATTTTATTGAAATAATGTAATTTTGAGGTGTATTTCTCTTAATTTTTTAGAGATCAGAATGATAAAAACTAATATTTAAAAAAAAAATACTAAAATATTTCTTTTTTAAAAATGAACTCTAATTTAAATTAATTTAATGAAATAAAAGATTATAAAATTAATTACAAAAGTTAAAAATGTACCTCACTCCACGCCAAAAGGAAAAACACTTTAAACTTTTACATAGAATATTAAGAAAAAAATTTAAAAAAATACTAAAAAAAACTGTAATTTTAAAATTGTTTAAATAGATAATTAAAGTTTTTTTGGGTTTAATAGATGAAAAAATGTTTAAGAACCCCGATTATTAATTAATTAATTGACATAAATTCATTTTACTTGAATTATATCCTTATTTTTTGAAAATTTTTTATTTAGATCTTAAATATTTTTTCTACATTTGAAATGGTCCTTGATGTTCATACTATAAAAACAAAATTTTTAACAAACAAAAGTTAAAGTACTATATTAAATGTTTTCAAAAGTTTAGGGAAGGCGCTGCCCCCCCTGTCCTTCATTAGCTTCGTCCCTGCTCCTAATTAACAGATGGTTCTAGAGTGTGTTTGATTGGATGATTTTATCAATTCATAAGCTTTTTGTTTCTTTAAATAACTAGTTAAACTATTTAAAAACATCAACTTATGAGTTGATTTTAAATTGTTAAGTAACATTTTTTTTTTAATCAACAAAGAGAATTTTATTGATAAGGTACAAGGGGTACCTCAACCCATTTACAATACTAATACCAAAAGAAGTAAGAGGGGCAATCCAAGATTTAGGATGTCATAAGGCCATACTCTAGCTCCTGCAAAAAGCAGGTTCCTTTCTCTACAGCAAAACAGAAGAGAGATTTACTGTGTGCATATTCTACAGGCTTCCTTAGGATGACTGTACCAAAGTGATTGGGATAAATCCGGCATCCTTTTTGCTTTAATCCATGTGAAGGAACTAAACTTAATTTGATCAAAAACATGTTCAGTATTTATAGCCTCCCCTTTGAAAATTAGTGAATTCCGGCATAACCAAATAAACCACACGATGAAAAACCAAATGGACATCTAAATCTGTTTTATATTTCCGTTATTTACCAGTCCCTTGTGTTGCTTTAGGTGATTCCATCCGCCTTCTTGTGTTGCTATCTTAATGTCCCACCAATCGTAGCACATGCACCATATTTTCCATGAGACTAGACATGAAAAAAGGATGTGTATTGAAGTTTTGGTCTTCTTTCCACATAGGATGCATTTTGCTCCTGTATTCTCTTCAGTCAATCCTCTTTTCAGCAGGTTATCTTTGGTCAGGATCCTGTTCTGTAAGGCTTTCCATGCAAAAGCAAAGATCTTCAAAGGCAATTTGTTGTCCCATATCAGCTTGTATTGAGCATCTTGTCTACTCTCTTGGTTCTAGTTTATGATGTTGCAAGCTAATTTCACTGTGTATCTGCCTTTTGAGTTGTGTTTCCATATCCAATTATCGTCTTCGCCTTGTGTTAGTTTTATTCCTTCAAGCATTGAGCAGAGTTCCTATAGCAAGTTAATTTCCCATACAAATAGGTTCCTTGTCCATCTCCAAGTCCACATCCACTCCCCATTATTCCACTGCCCCATGTCTGCTATACAAGCATCTTTCTCTCTAGACAAGCTAAATAACCTATTGAACTTCTCCTTTAACGGCTTATCCCCTACCCATTTCTCATGCCAAAACAACATATCTTTTCCTTCATCTATCTTTTTAACTACCCTTTCTTGAAACCAACCCTCTTTCACTCCCATTGCACTATCTAACTCCCATAAATTCCTCCAACATGTCGAGCATGATCCCTCCCATTTACTGCCTTCCCATGCCTTCCTTCTATCCATTCTATATTTAACTTCCAAAATCTGCTTCCATAATGCCACTTTTTCTTCTAATAATCTCCATCTCCCTAATGGTGCTATATTGAACTTTTGTAGTTCTTTGACTCCTAAACCTCCTTCTGTCTTCCTTTTGCAAATGTTTACCCATTTAACCCAAGCCATCTTCCTACTACCGTCACCCCCCCCCCCAAAGAAATTTCTTTGAATTTTAGTGAGTAAAAGAATTACTTGTTTTGGTGCTTTAAGGGTTGAGAAGTAGTACACTGGGATGCTTGAGAAGACAGAATTTAGAAGAATTATTGAGAAGACAGAATTTAGAAGAATTATGCATCCACCAAAAGACAGCGTATCCCTCTTCTAATTAGATAACCTCTTTCTCATCGTATCAATCATTGGGGTCCATGTGGATAGCCTTTTCGGATTTGAGCCAACCAACACCCCCAGATATTTAAATGGAGTCTGACCGATAGCACAATTCAGCTTGTTTGCAAATATTTCCATGTCATTCTTCTCCACATTCAATCCTATTAGGGAGCTCTTGAAAAAATTAACTTTCAGGCCAAATACCAACTCAAAGCATCTTAAGACACTTTTTAGAACCATCACATTCTGTTTTGTTGCTTCACAAAAGAAGATGGAATCATCAGCAAATTGGAGGTGTGAAAGTTTAAGGCCACTCTTCCCAATTTCAATTCCCTGGAACATATTATCATTCACTACCTTCTTCATAAGCCCATTTAAAAGCTTTTGCTATCATGAGGAATAAGAATGGGGCCATAGGATCCCTCTACCAAAGTCCCTTCTCTATCTATAACTCTTCGATAGGGCTACCATTAACCAAGATTGAAATCATGGCTGATGATAGACATTCTTGAATCCATAAGCGCCATTTGTGACAAAATCCAAATTTGCCCATCATATTGTCGAGGAAGTTCCAGTTTACACTATCGTATGCCTTCTCAAAGTTTGCTTTGAAGATTAGAACTGGCTTTTTGTTGCTCTTGGCTTCATGCAACATCTTATTGAGGATGATAATGCCATTTGTAATCTGTCTACCTTTGATGAGAGTAGGTTGGTGAGGCCTTATTAGGGAATCCATAACTTTCTTTAATCTATTTGCCAAAATTTTTGCAATGATTTTGTAAATACAACCAACAAGTGAGATTAGCCTGTACTCTCCCAGATTTTAAGGGTTCTCCTTTTTTGGAATCAAGACTATGAATGAAGCATTGCTCCGTTTAACTAATTTTCCATTATTGTGGAGTTTTGTCACACAGTCACAAATGTCTTTTTTCAAAACTGACCACATTCTGTTCACAAAATTGAAGTTGAAGCCATCTGGTCCTAGGCTTTTGCTTCCATTACACCCCCAAACTACTTCCTAGATTTCCTTTTCTGTAAAACAGGACACTAGTGAGTTATTGTCCTCAATTGAGAGTTTCTTAAAGTTATCCAACATCAGTTCTAGTCTCTCCCATTTGTCTTTTTCAAATTTTTCCTTGATGAAGTTTTTAACTTCTTTCACTTCTTCAACCCATTCCCCTTTAATTAGGACTCTTTCAATCTCGTTGTATTTTTTTCTTTGTGCCACACAAGAGTGGAAATACTTGTTGTTTGCATCACCCTCTTTTAACCATATTTGTCTTGCTTTCTGATGTAATAAGCTATCTCTTGCATTATTCCACTCTCATAGATTGTGGAAAACCTCTTGTCTTCTCTTTGTCTCTATTTTTGAAAGAATCCCAACTTCCCCTTTCTCATCAGGGACTTTTATTTCCTCCTTTGCCTTTTCAATGTTGTTGTCAATATCTCCAAACACATCTCTGTTCCATTTCTTCAATTCTGCTTTAAGCATCTTGAATTTTTCTTTTAATCTATAGCAACCCCAACCATTAACTATTATATTATTCCATTTTTCCTAAACAAAATCTGCAAAGCCCTCATGGTTCCACCAACAATCTAGACATCGGAATGGTTTACAACCCCAATCCACAGAGATATCTTTCAACAAAATTGGGCAGTGGTCTGAGATATCCTTCCTCAGACCTCTTAGTGTAATATCAAGAAAGCATAGCAAAAATTCATTTGACAAAAAGAATCTATCTAACTTACTCATTGTGGAGCCATCAGGTTTGTACCAAGTGAATTTCCTTCCTAAGAGTGATATCTCCATAAGCCCTACCTCCATTATGAAGTTGTTAAACTCACTATTTTCACCTAGGTCATACCACTTGCCTTTTCTTTCTTCATTACACCTTATTGCGTTGAAGTCACCTGCTAAGCACCAGTTTCCCCCACTTGAATCTTTGATTAATCCTTGTAGCTCTATCCACATCTGCCTTTTCTCTTGTTTGTTGCATGAAGAGTAAATGTTTATAAAGAAACATGGGATTCGATCACCACCCCAAAGTCCAACCACACCACAAAATCCTGACCTCTCCAACTTCTTATTCATTATGAAAATTTTTGGATTCCAAATGCACAGTAGTCCTCCTGCACTACCCCAAGCTGGTTTCATTACCCATTCACAGTTAGCCGATCCCCATATAGAGTGCACCAATCTATCACTCATTTGCTCAAATTTTGTTTCTGGGATGAAAATCATGTCCACTTGCTCTTTTTTTATCAGCTCCCTCACAGCTCTTCTTTTACTATTCTTCCCCAATCCTCTTACATTATAAGATAAGATCTTCATGGGTTGGTCGGCTTTACTCCTTTTTTCTCTGCCTCAACCAATCTTTGCTCTGCTAATGTAATTTTGTCCTGCTTCTCCATCTCACTCAGCCTTTTAATTATTTCTGCAGCATTGTTTTTATCCACTAAACCCAATTGCTTCCCTATATTCCAAAGCTCTTCTGCTTCCTCTTTTCGGTTGAGTTCTGCTCCAGGATTGGCTTTATTCACACCCCCCCTCAATCGAATCTCCTCTTCTGTTGTGCATTTTTTGTTCTTCCTTGTAGATCTGGCTTTTGCTTCTGCTATGCCTTCCTCCTTGTTGTTACCTTCCTTAGCTTTACCTTTTTCTTCTCCATCTTTCTTTGTTTGGCTAATCTCTCTGCCCTTGATTGCAAGATTTCATTGTCACTTGCCAAGCCTTCCCAAAAAGGCCGAGTTCTCCTTTCTTCTTCAATTGAGTAATCATCGTTGCTCTTCGCTTTTCCTGCTAATACTGGTATAGCTTTGCAATTGGAGTCTTTGTTCCCGTTGTTATAATCTCCCTCTTGACTACTTTTCCCATCTGGAACCTTCTCTTCTCCTTTGTCAACTTCTTGGTTTTGGGCCATTTCTTTATGTTGTTCCATTGAATGGTTGCACTCTGTCCCTTCTATTGGCCCAAAGTTTATGGTAAGGCCCAATTCCCTCCATTTTGGACCAAAACCTAGTGTGTATGTGTCATCATTAGATTTCTTTTCTTCATCCTTTCCTACTTTTGCTGTTTTTGTCTCTCGTTAGTACTTGGCTCAACTAACGAGTTGGACCCTTCAGGCCAACATTCTGCATTGGAATCATCAGTTCTACATAAAGAGAAATCTGAACGGAGTGAAAATGTGTTGTCCACTCCAACTTCCTCACTGATCCTAATATGGAAAAGCTTGGTCTTCACTTTGATCTTCAAGACCTTATTAATGTTTTCCTGCAATGGAGTCATAATTAAGATCTTTGCCACATCCAACCTAGATTTTTTAATGGTGCTCCCGTTTAATGATACAAATTTTCTGAACATGCATGCCACTGTTTCAAAGAAATTACACTTCCATATGTGCAATGGCACTCCTTGACATCTAAGCCATGTAAATCTCTTCGTTGCCACTTCTTCTGGAGTCCATGGTCTTACGTCTGTGAACCACTGTGCAAGCCATTCATGTCCTTCAACCACGAGATGTTTAAGTTCCTCTTCATCCCCACTTGGCAGTAACACTAAGTTACCTCCCATTGGAGTAACCTTAGCTAAGAAATATCCTTCCATTGCAAATGTATCTTGAAGGGTGCTGATGATTTCTGGGCATTTTGCTTGTCCAACATAACAATTCTCCAGCCTCCTTATGTCTTCTTCATCTACTTGAACTTCCATTCCATTCCA